TCGTTTTAAACCACAAGGTCGGCGGTTCAGGCTCACCAGCCACTCCTCGGAAATCCTGTACAGGGTCACTATGAGTTTGAACAGACTCAGTGGCACTTAACAATAACAACAAAGCCTTTTTGCTTTTGGGGGACTATACTTGTGGGTAGCTCTCATGGTTATTGAATAAATAACTTCTGAAAACTAAGTACAGTGAAAATTGGAATTTGACATGGGGTAGCCAAGGGTTGAAATCACTTTGAAGGTAACAGGTTCAGAGATTCAAGTAATTTTAAAAACCTTTTGAAAAGTGTTCAGTACATAATTCATCAGATTAAAAACAAAGCAAGAGTGGTAACTTCCTAGCTAAGGACTTTTTTGTGTGTGTTGTTTTTGAGACAACTGGCAAGAGGAAGAAAAATTCAAGGTATTGTAGTTATATGGTTTTAACTGAATCACCTTTAATTAAAGTAATGAGCTGGTTTATTGTTTTCCCCTTCACTATAGCAACTTTGGTAGCGTAGTGGTTACGAATCGGGCTGCGAACCTTAAGGTCAGCGGTTCAAAACTACCAGCTGCTCCGTGGGAGAAAGATGAGGCTTTCTACTCCCGTAAGGATTTACACCCTCGGAAACCCTGTACAGGGTCGCTATGGGTCGGAACCGACTCGACGGCACTAACAACAACATAGCAACTTTAGTTTTTGTTCTTGGTTTGCATTTCTAGAAAAACTTGTCAAGTTCTGACTCATAGACACCATGTCCATGTATAGGATTTCTGAGGAGTGACTGGTGAGTTTGAACTGCCAAACTTGCGGTTCAAACTAGCCTGTGGTCAAGTGTTTATCCTGCAGTGCCCCAGTGGTAGATTCTTAGGGATATCTGGTAATTCAGTTAAAAGGCAGAGTGAATGCTATGTGTTGTGTATAGTTTACAGATGTCTGCACTTCTTTAGTGTTCTTTTAAAAACGTCTGGATGCCAGTTACTGTTAACTTAAAATAACTGAGAAGAAAAGCTCTGGTGTCACAGTTTCCACTGCAGAATTCAGTCACCAGCCCTTCCTCCAACTTGACACAAGGTTGGTAAATAATATGTGTTGTCGTGGGTGGTGTTTCTTTAATTTTGTCTGGTGAACTGGAAGCACAGCTTATGTCGTCAATAGGTAAGAAATGTGGTTCTTGATTTTAGACCCATTTCATTCGATAGCATCGGTTCTGTGAGTTCCCCACCTGTGTAACTAAACCATCTGCTTTGTTGCTTCGTCAACTGTGACTTCCTTCTTTTCATTAAATGTTGTACCTACCTTCTTTCTTCTTCTGATAACCCTTTAAATCCGTTAGTACTATCATCCAAAGACACAGCTGACCTCTTAAACACGAGTGATTTTTATTCCTGCTAATATCCTTCCCTGTTGTACCACTCCTGTTGGTCCAAGTCACCCTCAGCTTCCTCTGCCAGGCTGCCATCCTATAAAAAAGGAAGAAAGCCTTGATGACCTATTGCGTGACTTTATTTTATGACTTTGTCTTCAAATTGAGTGTTCTTAAATATAATAAACATTTATAATGCTAGTTTCTCCCCTTTTATGTCTCATATTATTTTGTCCTTCAGATACTTCAATTGTGTGAAAATCTCCCTATCCACTGAATTCACAAATTGAATGGAGAGAACCTTGTTCTATGCAGTTAGGGTCTTAATTAAATCTCTTAATGTCTATTAGTTGGAATTTGCTTAAGAATTTTCAGATCATGGTGTGTTTTTTTTTTAATAGTAATCTTCGTTTTCTAATTCCAGAGGGGGGCAGATTAACTAGCTTTTACTGGGTGTGGATAACTTTCATGTAGCTTTGGTTCAATTATTGCTACACGGGGTATTCGATTTATGATTCTAAATGTTTTTAAATGACAGTTTAACTTTGTACTACTATACCCGCCATCTTCCAAAGAGGGGGTCTGGTGGATTTGAACTGCCAACCCTGTGGTTAGCAGTCCAGTGCTGATCATATACGACCACACCAGTTAGAAAGGTAAAATGAAAAGCATGTTTCTTGTATTAGTTATGTTCGCTCCTTGCCCTCACCCTTATTCCTTATTCCTCTAAATGGTTTCTGCTGCTTTCCTTAGATCCTCGATCACATGGCCAGTTTGAACCACAAGGTCACCAGTTCAAATTCACCAGCCATTTCTCAGAAACGCTATGCAGGATCTCCATGAATTGAAATCCATTTAACAACATAATATAACAAGAACATATGGCAGAAAATGCCCACGGGTGGGCGAGGTCAGCTATGTAGTGACTTCCCTTCAGCTTTTGTTAGCTAAGTTTTCTAAGTAGATGTACCTGGGAAAGAAAATTTTACTTTACAAACAATTTCTGGATTCCATCCATTGGATGTCCTGATGTGGTACTATAAGGTAAACACAGGACTGCTTACCACAAGGCTGGCAGTTCAAACCCACATCTGCTCCTCAGAAACCCTTATGTAGGGCTGACTCGGAACCAGACCCTGGTGTGGCACCATACAATAAGCACTTGATCTCAAGGTCATAGGTTCAAACTCACCAGCTTCTGCTTGGAAACCCTGCCACAGGGTCGCTATGAATTGGAACCGACGCCACAGCACTTAACAACAATATGAGTCACAACCAACTCAACAGCACTTAACATCATTGGAGACATGTTTTGTTTTGCTTTTAATACATGTACAGTTTCTGACTCATAACTCTTGGTTGGACTTTTGTAATAAAACCACATTTTGTCTGCATTGTTTTGTACAAGTGGGAGAAAGTTGAGGCTTTCTGCTCCCACAAAGATCTATTCTCAGAAATCCAATACAGGGTCACTGGGAGTTGGAACCAACTCATTTTGTGCAAGGTGAGAGGCTTAGGTTTCAATTAGCATCCATGTCTAGAAAATTAGGATTGCCATTGGAATATTTTGCTATTTGATTTTTAATTATTTACTATTTTAAGTAGTTTTTCATTCCCCATGTTCAAGATACTAAGTAAGAGCAAGTAAACTTTCTCCCCCACTTAAGGAAGTAAGCAATTTAGGATCTTTTCCCACAGACTCTAAAAGAACATTGAAAAAATTATTTATATATAGGAGACATTTTAATTCAGGGTGGTCACACCTTAATTCAGGGTGGAATGAAGAATTTAGGATCTTTTCCCACAGACTCTAAAAGAACATTGAAAAAATGATTTACGTATAGGAGACATCTTAATTCAGGGTGGTCACAGAGAGCCTTTTGGAATGAAGAAAGTTTTGAGCAAAGACCTCAATGTGCAGCAGGGATTAGCTATCTAGACGTCTGCTGTACACTAGGGAAAATGGCTGTGTTGTCACACTCTAGAACTCTAATGACAGCACAATATGGCAAACCACAAAGTCGGCAGTTCAAACCCACCAGCTGCTCCTCAGAAGCCCTATGCAGGATTTCTGTGAGTTGGTTCGAACAACAACAGCAACACATGTATTCCACAAATAATTTGAAGATCCACTGTGCTGTGGGTTGATGTGCTGGACTGTAAGGTCGGTGGTAAGTGTTGCCCTTTTGATCTGAATTGTTGACCATTCCATGATGAGCATACCTCACTAGTGTGGTTGTCCCCCTTATATTCCTTTCTTCTGCTTCACTGAAAACAGGGCTGCAAGGGTAATTCTGTTCTAGATCTTGAAGGGGGGCCGAAGGCCTTAGTCGTGGGTTTTTCCAATCTTTTTCTGACTGGTCCTTTTTTTATAATTTTGAGTTTTGTTCCATACTTTAGCCCAGTCTATCCGGGATCTTCTAATGCGATCCCTTTCAGAGCAGTTTAGTGGTAGGCAGTTACTGTCTAGTTCTTCTGGTCTCAGAGTTGTTGTGACTGATTTCCCGTGAAATTTTTGAAATACCCTCTTTCTAGTAGTCAAGGAGCCCAAGGCAGTATGTAAACATCATTTAGACTTCCTTCCTTGGAAGAAAATAACTTGGGAGGGTAATTGATCAAAGATAACTTAATTCTTGGGAGGATAATTAACCAAGACCTCCCCAGAGTCAAAAAATATATATTTAGCATAATAGCTTCTTGTGCTCCCTAGACCAAACATCTAAAAGTATGGTTTTTATTTGGCCACCCCGGAGCCTTGCAGAAGGGTGAGGGGAACTATCATTCCCCAGGAGGAGGGAGAAACAACTTTTTCAGCCTTCTCTTGTTTAGGTAGAAATATGCCAGTGGGTGAAGGCAGTAGTAATTTACAGGTAAGGATCTCTTTGGGTGTACGTGTGTACACAATCTCTTGACATCTATATTCAAGTTGAATCTGCCCATGCTGGAATGTTATCAGAAAGCAAAATTCTTGAACTCCCTACTGCCAGACCATTCAAGCCAAAAAGAAAAAGTAACATAGAAACTCATTGAGTTAGTTGCTTTCCGGTAAATACTAAAACATTCCCTCAAAGGTCATTTTTGTCTTGTGAAATCAGTTGTTTCTCTCTGGGTTGCATGTTTCTTAAGGGCAGGGACGAGGCTACTCATATCTTAATCCCTAAGAGTTTGTATCTGCTCCTGCACAGTGTAAAGCCAAGACTCTTGTCTCTATCAGAACATTTAAAACCAAAATCCAGTTCTCAGCTATACATTTTCTGAGCATCTGATACAGCAGTTTTTCCTTCTGACGTTTATGTTCCTTTTTTGTGTGTGTTGAGTGTGTATGTTCAAAAATACCTGCTTCAAATATCGTTGTTGTTGTTCAGTGCCGTTGAGTCATTTCTGACCCATAGCGAACCCTGTATAGGGTTTCCGAAAGGAGCAGCTGGTGAGCCTGAACCGCCAACCTTGCGGTTCAGAGGGCTTTGCTGTCTGGTGCATTTAACCCACAGCACCACACCAGGACTCCTCAAGTATTCTTAGAAACAGCTAAAGTGTAAAATGTAAAAAGTGTCGACCGTTTAATTTGTAGCATTTTTCAAAAAACGTACAAGGGGTATTCTACATACTTCTTTTTCACGCCTCTTTTTTTTTTTTTTTAAACTCTGACAGGTATCCGATATAGCACAGACGTGAGTGTGGATGAAGTAAAAGCTCTGGCTTCTCTGATGACGTATAAATGTGCAGTCGTCGGTGAGTGATTGCCTCTGTTATTACCCAAAATGATTGGGGAGATATGTTTTTATACAGTTATTCTTAAGATGCTATAAAAATTTACTCCATTAGAACTGTGTGTGTATGTGTGTGTGTTTTAATTTAGACATTTTATGGCTTATATCACCTTCCATTTAGTCTGAATTAAGATTTTGTCTTTTTTTTTTTTTTTTCCAAGTGGAGAATTTTGTTTTATAGGAACGAACTGCAAGCTAAAGTATAGATATTTAAATGCCTTTCCCTACTCTGTGTAAGATCAAATCATAGTAGAAGGTAACTAATTATAATGGAAATTTTTTATTGTTGTTGTTATTGTTAAGTGCTGTCGAGTTGGTTGCGACCCATAGCGACCCTGTACAGGGTTTCCAAGGGTGTAAATCTTTACGGGAGTAGAAAGCCTCATCTTTCACCCGCAGAGCGGCTAGTAGTTTCGAACCGCTGACCTTATGGTTCGCAGCCCAATTCGTAACACCAGTGAGTAATTATAATTTGCCTAGCCTTATAATTTCTGATAGCTAGAATTTTAAATTACAACATTCTAGAAGCGATCACTGGGTTTATTTCTTGAATTTTGTGGAATAAATTCTTAAAGCATCACACATTTTTACGATATTATTTTAACCTTTATATGGGATAACTTTCTGCCTTCTCTTTCAGATGTGCCATTTGGGGGTGCTAAAGCTGGTGTGAAGATCAACCCCAAGAACTACACTGTAAGTGTTAAAGTTACTATTTGTGCACATTTGCATTTATAGAGGATTTGAAATGGCTGGGCTTTGTCTATTCTCCATGCCAATGAGATTAATGGTCCCTGTTGCTTTTCCAGAGGAATGGAAAAGCAAATTAATAATTAACTGAGTATTTTGCTATATAAAAAGGTCACCTACTTAATATCAATGTCATTTTTCATTTTCTTCTTGGTCAAAGCATATAATACCTTCATATTGTTAGATATTTATATCCATATATATAAAGTATTATTATCGGAGACTTTAATGTTAGGATCTAAAAGTTAATAAATATATATCTCCAGAAATGATCCAGTAACTCATTTTTATACTATTAGTTTCCAGTTTATTAAAGCTTGTTGTTACTTTGTGTTATTTAGTGCCATTGAGTCATTCCGACACTGTATAGGGTTTCCGAGGGGTTGCTGGTGGATTAACTTTAGGAAAGGGAGAGAGAATCTCCATTAGCATGAGCCCAAGGCTGAGTTCCTTGTAGCTGAGTCGCATACCTCCACCTCCAGCCTTTTCACCAATTCTGATGCACTTCTGCCAGTTTCAAAAATTTGTTACAAAGAATGCAGACCATATTCAGAGTTAATGGGGTTCATTAAGGAAATAACTAGTTACAACTTGAGATCCACTTAAAGATTCATAGGCACAGTCTCCCTTCAGTTCAGGACAGCTTTTTCATGGAGATGAGTCAATTTTGCCATTCCACTGTGTTGTAAATGAGCCATCTCAGAAGCAGGAACAGAGTGTGTCTTTTGGACCCTGAGATTCTTGTGTGCTGGACCTCTTAGATTTAGTAGATGAGTGTGACACCAAAGAAGTAGTAGAGAAGCTGAAGCAGCAGAATTACTGTTGTTAAGTGCCGTTCAGTCAATTCTAACCCATAGGATTTCCAAGGAGCTGCTGGTGAGCTGGCAGTTTAGACGGCTTTGCAGTCTGAGACATTAACCCACAGCACCACACCAGTACTCCTAGCAGCAGAGTTATTGATGTTAAGTGCCATCGAGTCAATTTCGACCCATATCAACCCTGTATAGGGTTTCTAAGGAACAGGTAGTGAACTTGAACCGCCGACTTTGCAGTTCAAGTTTGAACTGCTTTGCAGTCTGGCTCATTAACCCACAGTGCCACACCAGGACTCCAGCAGCAGAGTAGTAACACCAAAAACAAGGAACAGAGAAGTGGACTTCTCAGCCCACAAAGTGGGATTGCTGAGTGTCTTTGGGCAGGAGGCTTATTTTGCAGAGTGGGTTGCCTCCAGACAGTTAATTGAGGAAACTAGTTTTGCTGCCCAGAGCTAGAGCTGAGCGCCTATGGCTTTAGGCTGAGGCTTGTAGCTGAGTAGTGTGTCCCTTTGGGCATCTATCAGCAGTGCTAAAGGAAGCTTTGTAACACTGTCCAAGCAGGGCAGAGGCCAAGAGACTGTGGAACTAAGAGCCCAAAGAATCAGTCTAGTTCTTCCTCCTTGTAAAGTCAGAGGTAGTTAGACACCACGGCCATGCCTTTATTCTTACAACCACAAATTTACCAATCATCAAGCCACACATACTTCATTTGCATGGCAGGCCATAGTCACCTCATTTGCATAGTCTATTGACCAATCCCTGCATAGTGCATACCAATCACAGAGCAGTCTGCAGCCCAGGACCAGACAAAAAGTATCAAACCAAATTTTTTACAGCTTACTCAAGAAAAGCCATTCAACCTGGATAAAAGAACAAACAAGCCTTCTGGGGTAGAAGATTAGGACAGAAGTAATTTCTCGGACTTTTAGTGGGAAAATCTCTCAAGTTAATTTTCCAAAGAACCAAGGCAAAAGGCCGCACAAAGGAACTCATTTCACCACAGGGTGGCTCCTGCAGACCTACAAAGAGAACAGGAATTGATATTGGAATGCTAGCTGTTTGTACTATGTAGTTTCTGACCCCTCATTCTCATCTTTAAAGTAGAAATACCTATGTTATGAGTTGCTCGACCACACAAGAAAAGATGCATGAAAACATCCTATAAATAGGAATGATGATGCAAAAATTTCCCCCCAAGTGATTTTTCCATCAAAAGACTTTCTCACTGTTTTTGTTTTTAACAGGATAATGAATTGGAAAAGATTACAAGAAGGTTCACCATGGAGTTAGCAAAGAAGGGCTTTATTGGTATGTATTGCCATTTAGGCTTCTGTCTAAAGTGGGAACAACCAGAAAGTCATTGTCTTAATTTAAACTTCTACTTTTATAACACAGGGTTGCCATGATTCGGAATCAACTGCGCAACAATGGGTTTGTTTTTTGGGTTTTGTTATTATCCATGGGTATATAAGTGGAGTTGCCGTTTTACTGTGAGACACTGAATTCTGTAATAAATACAGTGAACCTACCTAGGCCTAGTTAGGACACAGCTCTAAATGAAAAGTTCCAGTTCTAAGTGTAGAATGTAGACAGACAGTGGACGTTTTTGATTGGTATGGCAGCATATTATACATTTGGTCTGCCAAGGAAGACCAGATTTGTTCCCCCTTTTATTATAATTTTAGAAAAAATAGTTATGAATTCAATGTTGTAGTTGTGTGCCTTGCAGTTAGTACAGTTAGCAGTCCAGTGCTTATCCTACAGCACTACAGCAGGCCCATGATGCAGTAAACATGTAAAAATAAGCCCAGTGTCATTGAGTGATTACCGCTAATAGTAATCCTCTGCAGAGGGTTTCTGAGACTATCTTTATAGGAAGTAGACAGCCTCATCTTTTTCCTGCAGAGCGACTGGTTGGTTTGAGCCCCAGCCTTGTGGTTAACAACCCAACGTCTAACTCACAGCACAGAAACGACATTTAACTACTGTGAACTTTACTCATGCAGTTGTTTTCTGAGGAAGCACTAGCTCACTTGTTAAATTTGTTCCTTCGTCTTTTCTTCTTTTTTTGTTGCTGTTATATATGGAATTGCTTTCTTAAACTTTATTTTCAGATTGTTCATAGCAAGTGTATAGAAGCTGAGTTGTTGATGAACATGAGCATAATACTTTTTGTAGATAGCTCTTGATGCATTCAGAAGCAATTTGTCTTTTGTACTTTAAGGAAAAAGCAGCATAATTAGATTTGTACTAATCTCCAGCTGAACTTTGAAGCACTGTGAGTGAGTTGTTGAGAGAATCAGAGCCCTTCGTTGGGAGGTAAAGAATAGAGCAAGAAGCAACCTGGTGATGCCGCGGTTACGTGCTCAGCTGCTAACCAAAAGGTGGACAGTTTGAACCCTTCAGCCACCCCACTGGGAAAAACCGTGTCAGTCTGCTCTCGTAAAGACTGTAGCCTTGTCCTCTGTCCTGTTCTAGGGTCACTCTGAATCGGAATCAACTCATCAGCAATGGGTTTGGGAAGAACTGAACAAGCCTTTAATTCTACCAAGTGGTAGTGTTGTATAGGGTGAATGTGGCTTTGGGGGATTCTTTATATAAGATACCGAAGGGAAAGGGTCATCTGGGTGGCACAAACAGTTAAGCACTGGATTACTAGCTGAAAGGTTGGCAGTTTAAACCTACCTAGAGGTGCCTCAGAAAACAGGTCTGGCTGACTGGTTTTGAAAGGTCACAGCCTGAAAGCCCTACAGAGCAGTGCGCTAGCCACATGGGCTTGCCAAGACAGGGACTCAAAAGCAGCTACCAATAATAACAAGGAAAGCAATACTAGCGCAGAGGAATTCCAGGTTGGGCCGTGGCAGGAAAGACAAAAGGCAAACCTTGACAGTCTTGTCTGATGCCAGTGCTGGAGAGTGCAGTGGCTCCGTAAGCTAAGCACAAGACTGTATGAACCACAAAGTCGGCGTTTGAAGCCCACCCGTCCCTCTGTGGGAGAAACGATGTTTAAAGCCTTGGAAACCCTATGCAGCAAGGTGCCATTGGTTCCAATTCATAGCAATCCTGTATAGGGTTTCCAAGGAGCAGCTGGTGAGGTTTGAACTGCCGACCTTGTGATAGTCCTGCAGTGCATTATCCTGCAACGCCACACCAGGACTCCATACAGCAAAGGTGGGAACCTTTTTCTCCCAAAACTCATAACATCATTTGTGGTCCATACAAAGTTATCAACTTAAAAATTAGCTTGCTGTATTTGGTCATTTAATTAACTCACCCCTAACCCTGTACAGTCCTGGTGTGGCACTATGGGCTAACGCGTCAGACTGCAAAGTCGTTTGAACTGCAAGGTTGATGGTTCAAGCTCACCAGCTGCTACTTGGAAAAACCCTATACAGAGTCACTGTGGGTCGGAATCGACTCGACGGTACTTGACAACAACATTGTGGTGCTGCAGGGTAATGCACTGGACTGCAAGGTCCATTTGAACCCTAAGGTTGGCAGTTCAGACTCACCAACCACGCCTCAGAAATCCTATATGGGGTCACTATGAGTCGAGACCGATTCAATAGCGCTTCACAACAACAGATGTGATGGCTGCATCTGCAGTTGCCAAGGCAGAGCCAGACCAAATAATATAGGCCCACAGGCCCGACTTTCCCACCCCTGCTATACAGGTTTGCTGTCTTAACGAACTCCATGACACTTAGCAACAACGCCAGTCCTGTATCGGTTACATCATGATTTGTACAAAGAAGTATGTTGTGTCATGCAATGGGACAAAATAGAATGTTATAAACAACAAGGTTGAGATCCAAAAATAACCCATTGAGCAAGTTTCTGCCTAATCTTTTTTAACGTTTTGCATGCGTATACACATGGATCTATCTGTATGTGCATTCCCGTAAATGGTTTGCACTCAACTGCTAACCAAAGGTTGGTAATTCAAATCCATTCAGTGGAAGAAAAGGCCTGATGATCTTCCATTAGGATTATAGCCAAGGAAGCCTGTGGAACGGTTCTGTTCAATTACAATGGGATCACCATGAGTTGGAATCGACTCAGTGACACCTACCAACATACATAAGTATATATAGAGAGGATTTTATGTCATTGGAAACAATATATTTGCTAGATGAGACCTGCTTTTCCCCACATACGTGTTTTAATCATTCAAAGTCATTTACATGGATCTGGAACAATCTCTTTAACGGTCCCATCATATTTTGTTGAATGGTGGTGGTGGTGTGCCTTCAAGCTGGCTCCCACTCGTAGCCACCCTGTATAGTATTTCCAAGGCTGTAAATCTTTACAGAAATAAAAAGCCTCATCTTTTCTCCTGCGGAGTGGCTGGTGGGCTCTGACTGCTGGCCTTTTAGCCGACCAGCACATGACCTACTATACCACCAGGACTCCTTACTTTGTTGTGTAAATATACCATATTTTATTTAATTGACCCACTATTAAAAGCTTTTAATTTTAGTAATGGTCCACAATTAAGTTGGTTGTAGTTTTTCAATTTTTAAGGGAGATCACTGTAGCCGTTGCTGCTTATTGCTATCCATGGTTTTTGTTGCAGCCTAGGATAAGCACTGGACTGCTAACCACAAGGTTGGCAGTTCAAACCTACCAGCCACTTCTTGGAAAACACTGTACAGGGTCGCTCAGAGTCTGAACCGAGTCGATGGCACTAACAACTACAACATGTCATCCCCAAAGTTTTAAATTTTCTGTCATCTGAGGAATTGAAAGTCAGGGCACAAAACGTTCTATACACAAATGAGTTAGCTTTGAGTAATAGTTCAAAGCAACATTCTGTCACGGCTGCAAGAATGACAGGGTTTGACACAATTGCTTCTGTGACGTGGTTTTGTCTCCCTTTTATTCTATTTGTTGAGGGAGTTTATACTCATACAGTGAGTTACGTTGCTGCACATAAATACAATCTACAGTTTGGGTAACAGTTATTAAGGTCTTTGCATTGACATGATCCAGTACCCTTTCCCTTTGCCCACAGGTCCTGGCATTGATGTACCTGCCCCTGACATGAGCACGGGCGAGCGGGAGATGTCCTGGATCGCTGACACCTATGCCAGCACCATAGGGCACTATGTGAGTACCCATCAAAGCCTGACAGCTTCATTTGCTGCGGGTGAATCTGCTGCAAGAAATAACAACTAAATCCACTAGTGTTCAAGTTGAAAACCACTGGGGTTTTCTTCTTCCCTTTAATAATCACCTTGATTTGCTTATTACTTAACTTCTATTTCATCTTTCTTAAGTCATCACTTTTGCAACCATGGATTGAGCTTTTATACCTACAAGCTGCCATGTGCATTGGAATATGGTCCTCAAAGAGAAATCAGCCACAAAGTCAGGACATTCTGTGAGACACTGCAAGGGAAAGAAAAAAACATTTGATCATGATTTTTCCCTCTCGGACCATTCCGTTTAAAGGGTAGTTAGATTACAGAAGCACACAGAGTGTGACCTGGCTTAGCGGTATTGTTGGTGAAGTTGGAGAGAAGTAGACAGACTTAAGAGTGACCTAGAAAAGAAAAGCAGCCAGCTCTGAAAGAATAAGGAATATTTAGACCTCAGTGCTTTGGATGCCAAGGGACAGGTTTATGCAAAGAGACCAGATTCAGCAATAAGACTATGCATGGAGTAGTAAGATTGGAGCCAGACAGCTGGCATTGAGAGGGAAGTAGGGCAGACAGTGAGCCTCCACCATGAAGAGTGGCATTGGAGAGAGGCAAAGGGAAGGCTTCAAAGTCAGTTATTGTCCAAAAAGAAGGACGCATTTGTGTTGTCTGGCATAGTGAGTGGCTATGGGCACAGATTAATTGATGAGAGATAGGGGTGATAAAGCCAAGTGGATTTTCAAGAGCACTAATGGTGCTCTAGGAAAAGCACTGGCTTGCAACCATAAAGTTGGCAGTTCAAACCCACCAGCCAGATTTTGGAAGTGGCAAATTCTAAGTTCCCATGAAAGTATTTTGATGACCCAAGGACTACCAGAAGAATGAACAAATCTATGTTGGAAGAAGTACAGCTTAGAAGCAAGCATGGTGAGACTTTGTCTCATGTACTTGGCATGTTATCAGAAGGAACCAGTCCCTGGAGAAAGGACATCAGGCTTGATGTAGAGGGTCAGCAAAAGAAGAGGAAGACACTCGACAAGATGGATTGACACCGTGGCTGCAACAATGGCTCAAATTTAGCCTTGATTGTAAGGATGGTGCAGATCTGGCCAGTGTTTCTGTTGTGCAGAATGGTTCACTGTGGGTCAAAACCAGCTAGACAGTATTTGGAAACAACAGTGGAAGGGTTGTTTTATATGAGTAGTACCTCAATATAAAGAAAACAAAAATCCTCACCACTGGACCAATAAATAACATCAAGATAGATGGAGAAACTATTGAAGTTGTCAAAGACTTCATTTTGCTTGCATCAACTATCAACACTCATTGAAGCAGCAGTCAAGAAATAAACAATGTATTGCATTAGGCAGATCTGCAGAAGACCCCTTTAAAGTGTTCTAGAGGTTTATCTGGCTCCAGTGTAATGAGCTACAAAGAATAATAATATTGCCCACTAGCCTGAGTCCTATTAAGTTTAGTATCTTGCTTAAGAAGAAGAGACCGTAATCCATAACTCATTTAGCTTACAAGGTTACACATATACAAGGTGATTTGCCTTTCTGAGAATGGCAGTCAAAAACAAAATTCTTCACAGGAACCCCTGAGTCATGTAAATAATTAAACTGCTCAGCTTCCAACCAAAGGATAGGCAATTTGAGTCCAGCCAGTGTTGCTGTGGGAGAAGGCCTGGTGATCTACTTTCAGAAACCCAGCCGTTGAAAACCCTATGAAACAGTCCTACTGGCACACATCTGGCCACGCCTTCAGTCCAAGTCAACTTGATAACAACTGGTTAGCATTTATTCTGGCAGGAGAACCTCTCAACTGCAAAGTCAGTGGCTCAAGCTCACCAGCTGCTCTTTGGAAACCCTGTACAGGGTTGCTAAGGGTTGGAACCAGCTCGAGGGCACTTCACAACAATAAGAACAACATGCTGGCCAAGGACTTTTCGTGTTTAAGTGATGTTGTTTGTTGTTAAGTGCTGTTGAGTTGATTCTGAGTCATTGCAACATCCTGTTTAGTATTTCCAAGGAGCAGCTAGCTGGTGGGTTTGAACTGCCGACCTTGTGGTTTGCAGTCCAGTGTTGATCCTATAGTAGTACCACACCAGAAGTTCTTAAGTGATAGGAAACCCAAAATTCAAGGAAGCTATGTTAAGTGTAATCAAATCAGTTCCGACTCATAGTGACCCTGTACAAGGAGCCACTGGTAGGTTTGAACTGCCAGCGTTGCATTTAGCAGTCTAGTGCTTATCGTACAGGACCATATCAGGAGTCCAAGGAAGCCATTGTTAATTGCCGTCAAGTTGGTTCCTACTCATAGCAACCCTGTATGGGATTTCCAAGGAGCAGCTGGTGGATTTAAACTGCTAACCTTGCAGTAACAGTCCAATGCTTCTCCTACAGTACCATACCAGGAAGCTGTGTTACTGTTAAATGCCATCAAGTCAGTTCTGACTCCTAAAAGTCCTTGATAGGGTTTCCAAGGAGTTGCTGGTGGGTTTGCATTGCCCACCTTGTGGTTTTGTAGTCCAGTGCTGATCCAATAGCGCCACTCGGTTTTCTTTCTAGGTCTACCTGGAAGAACTGGTGTTGGTAGGGGGTCATTGTTACCCTTGGGCTTTTGGAGACAATTAGGTATGCTGGTGAGCTTGGCAGTTGGCACCATGCCCAACCACAGACAATATTTCTGTCAACTCCAGCATTTGCATTTTCACTGTTTAAAAGCATTTGGCACTAGTTTTCAATTCTGTATTCATAAGTGTTAATTATATTCATGAAAGGAAACTGTGGGAAAACTGTTAATCCTGAAAATCACTCTACCAGACTATTTTTGTTGTTGTTGTTGTTGTTGTTGTTGTTGGCAATTACACAGTAATACAATTCTAAGTTCCCATAAAAGTATTTAAGCCATGCTGATAAAGGACAGGTTACTTTCTGAATCGCCCAACTGTAATCTGTATCACGATATGGGGGCATGGTGTGGGGTAGCAAGCTGCCTCAACAGTTTTATTCAATAGTCCATACTTAAGCCACTCGATCTCCTGTGTGGTGCTGTAAGATCAGCACTGGACTGGTAACCACAAGGCTGTCAGTTCAAACCCACCACCTGCTCCTCGGAAACCCTATGGGTCCCTATGAGTCAGAACCAACTCAACGGTACTTAACAACAACATATGTAATAGAAAGAAGCTTTGGTGGTGGTGGTATTGTTATGTGCCATGGAGTCGGTTCCAACTTATAGCGATCCTGTACAGGGTTTCCAAGGCTGTAAATCTTTACGGGAGTAGAAAGCCTCATCTTTCTCCCATGGAGCAGCTGGTAGTTTCGAACTGCTGACCTTGCGGTTCGCAGCCCAATTCATAACCACTACTCTACCAGAGCTCCTTTTTGGTGGTGATGTTGTTGTTGTTGTATGCCATGGAGTCGGTTCCGACTCACAGCGACCCTGTACAGGGTTTCCGAGGCTATAAATCTTTACGGGAGCAGAAAGCCTCATCTTTCACCCCTGGAACAGTTGGTAGTTTCGAACCGCTGACGTTGCGGTTCACAGCCCGATTCATAACCACTATGCTACCAGAGCTCCTTTTTTGGTGGTGTAGTGGGTACAAATTAGGTTGCTAACCGAAAGTTGTTTGAGTGTAAACTCCCTCAACAAACAGAATAAAAGGGGAAGAAAGCCATATCATGGAAGCAACCGTATCAAACCCTGTCATTCTTGCACCTGTGACAGAATGCTGCTTTGACTCGGTGCTAACTCACTTAGTGTACGTTATGTTGTGAGTCCTGACTTTCAGTTCCTTCTTGTTAGATGCCATCAAGTCGGTACTGACGCGTAGCGACCCTATGCACAACAGAACAAAACACTGCCCAGTCCTGGGCCAACCTCACAATTGTTGCCATGCTTGAGCCCATTGATGCTGCCACTTTGCCAGTCCATCTCACTGGGGGTCTTCCTCTTTTTCTCTGACCTCCCCTAAACCAAACATGATATTCCTTTCCAGCGACTGATCCCTCCTAACAATAAGTATGAGAGATGAAGTTTGGCCATCCTGGCTTCACTTCTTAGATGACAGCAAATCAGAACGTTTGGGAATGACATGTTGTTGTTGTTAGTGCCATCAAATCAGTTCATTTCCCAGGAGTGACTGGTGAGTTTGAACTGCCAACCTTGTGGTTAGCAGTCCCATGCTTATCCTAGGCAGCAACAAAAACTGGACAGCACTAATAATTAATGGCCACAGTGAAATCTCTTAAAATAGCAAAATTGAAAGCAACCTGATTGTGGGCCATTGTTAAAATGGAAAGTTCTTAATAGTTGATTAATTAAATAAAATATGGTGTATCAGGAGTAAGAACAAGGAGTGTTGGTGATGTAGTGGTGTAGTATGTGTGGGTCTGCTAACCAAAAGGCCAGCAGTTTGAACCCAGCAGCCACTCTGCAGAAGAAACATGAGGCCTTCTGCTCCCATAAAGATTTACAGCCTCCGAAACTCTACACAGGGTTGTTCCAGCTTTTGGTCAATTTGGTATCTTGGAAGGTGTGACGTTAAGGTTGTATGTCCGCGTGGGCTGGTCCTGATTCTCAGTGACACGATAGTTATGCTGTAGTAGTCTCCCATGGTAAGATCCGATATAATGCAATCACATCCCTGATGAGATCTGCTATGTCACATGAAAGGACATGTTCTGCTTCCAATACGGATGGACTTTCTGACAAAGCTCTTGGGCTTTTGGCTTGAGCTGGGTCCTGCATCTGGCTCATCATCATCTGACCTCTGGTTCGTTGGACTTGATCCAGCGTATTGTCTTCTAGCCTCAGGGTTCGTTAGCCTCTGCAGCCTGAGACCCACAGCCTATCATCTTACCTGCCGGTCTCGGGGTTGCCGGCCCCTACAGAGCTATAGGGTGAAGCCTCCAACTCTAGCCAGCCTCTACAAGCACATGAGCCATTTCCTTGAAGATGTCTATATAGAGATATGGAAATATGTATATATATGCACATACATGTATACATCCATAACATACATGCATGCATGAGGGCACTTTAAAAAGTTCATGGAATTTTTTTCATTGTCTTTTAATCCCATGAGTCAGAACCACGTCCACGGTATACCGCCACCACTTACTTCTGATCAATAATATAAGCACATCATCAATTGAAGAACTTCCAGGAGGCGATTGGTGAAGGTTGCTGTCTTTGCCTCCTGATCCAGTTCTTTGTCCGGCTGACTGTGGTCACCAAAGACTGTCTGCCCACACATGGACAGCACAACTTCCATGTCTCACATGCACTTTAAAAAAAAAAAATCTGTTCCTTTAGAAAACTTGAGAATCCTCTTTAAAGGTTCTTTTTTTTTCTAATGGGATGTTAGTAAATTTCTAGATTACTTTGGCAGAAGATTATCATAACACATCTTTCTGCCTCAGGCTTTGTTTTGGTGGCGTGATCCATCCCTTTGATGGATTTGAGGACATTTATGGGTAGATGTGTACTTTGACTTCTTGTTGTTGAGTGCCTTCGAGTTGATTCCAACCCATTGCCACCCTGTAAGGAGCTCTGGTAGCGTAGTGGTTATGAATCGGGCTGCGAACCTTAAGGTTAGCGGTTCGAAACTACCAGCCGCTCTGCGGGAGAAAGATGAGGCTTTCTACTCCCGTAAAGATTTACACCCTCGGAAACCCTGTACAGGGTCGCTATGGGTCAGAACCGACTCGATGGCACTTAACAACAACAACAACAATAGGGTTTCCGAGGAGCAGCTGGTAAGCGTGAACTGCCAAACTTGCAGTTCAAATGGCTTTGTAGTCTGGTGCATTAACCCACAGCACCACATCAGTAAGGCTTAAATAGTTGTTGAAGAAAGAATACGTAGATTTAAACTGAGCTCTCCTCTCTACTTTTAAGACGTTGCTCTTTATACTTACTGTTAGATTCCTGTGTGCCTTATTTCTCCTATTGGAAGATACAGTCATATATATTTTCTACGTAACAGAAGCTGAAAAAGTCATACTCGCCTCTGAATAAGCTCTGACTTTTCTCCTACAGGACATTAACGCACATGCCTGCGTTACTGGTAAGCCCATCAGTCAAGGCGGTATCCACGGACGCATCTCTGCTACTGGCCGTGGTGTTTTCCATGGGATTGAAAACTTCATCAATGAAGCTTCTTATATGAGCATTTTAGGAATGACACCAGGGTTCGGGGATAAAACATTTGTTGTTCAGGTAAGAATTTTTGTTTTCTTAGGTATAACTTATGATGCATAAAATAAGTTTTAAGTTTTTATTTTTTTGCATCTCTTAAATTTTGGAGTGATTCTTTTCAGAGTTTTCACAAACCTTTATATTTTTTTAACCTAGTGATGATCTGGAGTCCTGGTGTAGCACTGTAGGGTAAGCATTCTACCACAAGGTCAGTGTTCAAACCCACCAGACGCTCCTTGGAAACACTATGCAGAGTTGCTATGAGTTGAAGTTGACTCGACGGCACTTAACAAGTGGTGTTCTAAGCATCAAGATTCAGTAGTCAACTGCTACGTTATTGTTCAAGATTTTGGTATAATTCATGTGATTAGAACTAAGATTATCAGATCATACAAAACTATCACCAAAAGGGAATGTCTATTAATTAATAGGATTTCCAAACTATTAAGAGTATACAAAAAGGTTTGCCCATTTTCCTGAACTTTTCCAGAATTGGTTTTTAATATGTTTGCACGGTTTTTAATGTGTTGGTGTGTATTTTCTTTACCAAACCTAACAAAACAAACCCACTATTAGTGAGTCCAATCATTTCTGACGTAGACAGCCCTGTATCAAGTTTCTGAGGTTATAAATGAGTACTGAGCAGAAAGCCTTCTCTTTCTCCCGAGGAGTGGCTGGTGGATTGCAGCTATCAACCTTACAGTTAGTAATCCAGTGCCGATCTTGTAGCACCACCAGGGCGCCTTGGATTTTCCTTGTTGTGGTTGTTAAATGCCGTCAATGCCATCAAATTGGTTCTGGCTCATGTTGACCCTTTGTAGGGTTTCCAAGGAACGGCTGGTGAGTTTGAACCACCAACCTTGTGGTTCAAACTGACCTCACAGTCAAGTGCTTTATGCCACAGTGCCACACCAGAACTCCTTAGAGGGGAATCTAAGTAAATTTGAGTGTTGCTTTCAAATAGCATTTGTATTTCTCCCAATAAGGGCATAACATTTTTTTTTCTCCCAAAGCTTTTATTGTGAATTGAGTGATAGTTTACACAGGAGAACATTGGTTTTACACTCAACCAACTGATTACAATCTTCTCCATGCACCATTGGTTAACA